TTAGAAGTAAAGCTGGCCTGGGCAGACATTTTGATCAGCACTTTAGATTTGGTGAACACAGAAAAACTGAATCATTCTGCGAGACTTTCAGTGCAGCCACTCTGGCTCGGGCTCTCGGTCTTTGGCTTTCTTCCATCAAAGTACCTGATGGGCATTATCTAGAGACATCAGCATTGTTGCTGCTTCTCTCCCCTCCTCAAACCATGGCTCTCCCAGTTCACAGACCAAGATGAGTAAAACTAATATTTTGGTACAGCTCTAGCAGCATAAAAAATGGTTGATTGACTGAAAGTCCCCTAACTATTACAGTACAGTTGAGCAAGGCTCGCTTTGCTGGGCTTGAAGATCTCTTTTACCTCTTATGCAAGACGTATATACTCATTTGGGCATCTCTTGCCTTGAGTTTTGCTGACCTACTTGTTTGTGCAAAGCCAGGCCTCTGTGAGGTGTTTGCTCAAAGTCTTGAGACAGGTTCCCAGCTGCAGCAAATGGCAGAGACCAATGCATCTGCTTCAGTTCGGGATTCAACATCTAATTTAAAAGCAAATATCCAGTGGAAATTTCTCCACCCCCCGCTGTAAAGATGAGCACAAACACCCTGCCTTCCTCTGCAGCCTGTTTTTTAAAATCAACCCAAACTTGAGTGAGGAGAGTAAACATTGCTGGAATGTGCGTTTCCACTGAGATTAAACCTGTATTTGTATGCGGCTTTCCAAAATTAAACTTTCACAGTGGCAAATAGGGAGTTGGGTGCAGGACTGCAATTAGCCATGACTCAGGACTCTTGACGTACCGGTGGGCCAATGAGTTGCGAGCGCTCACACGGAAACTTGACAAAGTAGCAAGAACAACTTGCTACGTGTTAACATGAGCAGAGTAAATAACACAAAATGTTAATGTTTGGTATTTCTTTCCAAGCTGCTCCTTTGTGTGGTGTAGACAGAAGTGCACCTGGCAAGTGATGGTGAATGATGTTTTTCTTGTGGAATAGTGGTTGTCTTCCCGTTAGTAAGATTCATTCCCTTTTCTTGAGTTTTGAGATCCTGAAGAACAGACACTGTATGAAATCTGATGTATTCTTTTCATATAATGGTCTCCCAGCCATTGTGGTGTCAATAAGCATCATGTATCAACTGGCCATGAAATAGTTTTTCCAAGTAAAAGGTGAATTCATCGTGATCTTAAAAGGCTTGGCTAAGGACATCTGTGAAAAAGCAAGGCTTTCCAGTCACCCTTCTCACCCATTCTTTTGACGATCTTAAGGGTCTTTTCCAACCTAAATGATTCAATGATTCTATGATTCTCAGTGGCTTGTATCATTCTCATCCTCTGCCCTCCAAAATGTGCCGGACATTTTCTCCCTTGGTATAATACTCCCTTAGAGCAGGTCCTAGAAATATAATATCCTGCACTTCCTCAGAGCGGTCCCGTGCCTGTTCACAAGTGCGTGGCAGAGACTGTGTCTTTCCTTTTTTTGTGGCTATCAAGCATTGCAGGGTAATGTGGGCACCCAAGGATGCCAACATCGTGGACATGTGTAGGTAAATAAGCAGGAAAGGAGAGAGAAAGAGAGAGAGGGAAAAAAATAAAATAAAAAAGCAGCATTCTGTTGACTTATTAAAGTACTTAAGAAAGGATTTAACTTTTAATTAGAAGGAGATTGCTAGGTCTTTGTGCTTTTTTTGCCCTGATAGCCAGAGTTTACACTTCCACCTTTTTTATGTAATTTATATGTGCTGTTTGCATTAAACTTGTTCCTTCTAATTTTCTGCAATACTGTTTATCTTGTATCTGAATCTTTGGAAGATGGAGATACGGCCACCACTGTCTTCTGTGCTAGCGACTGTGTCTTCTGATTCAGAGCTACTGTATGCTGAAGCCAATAATGATTCACTCTCACAGCAGTGGTGTGAGCAGTCTCAGCTTTTATATGCCATCTGTGTGAGTGAGCTGAATCTGCAGAAATGGGACCCTGTACACATGGCTTTTCCTCTGTTCATGGATGAAAATATTAAAGCAAATCCGTATGGTCCATGAGATGTTTTCTGTGTCAGGAAGGGAGTAAAGCTGCCTGTCAAACCAAGCTGTTCTCTCTGATGAAAGGGGACTGTTTTTAAACACTCCTTTCCATAGTATTTTGCCCGCCAGCCATCTCTGTTTTCTCATCTGACATCTCATTGAGATCCTTGGCTTCGGTACTGCAAGAGGGAAGGGTGTGCTGGGAGGGAAGGAAATAATCTTTCAATATGTACACAAGCACGCTTGTGCACACATGGTCTTAAATCAATCTTAAATGAATTGAATTTTTTGGGGAATACGAAAGAAAATTAATCTGGTTGGGCAGACTTAATTGCTTCCCTTTTCTTTGGATTTTCTGTTTTCACATGAAGATATTGGGAAGCAATGCTCTGAGCTATTACTACATACAAAGGTGGAGACAGAGGGCAAAGGGTCCATTTACAATTCCTACAGCAGGGTATTGAATTTTAAAGCTAAAAGGCAAGTTGATGAGCAGCTTGAAAATAAAGATTCATCCACTTAGCTTACTGAGTATTTCTGAAGGTTCATGCTGGTCTGGGGAGCTAACCATTCTCACAGCTGGGAGACCTGCTGGCTGGAGGAACCAGAGAAAAAAAAGAATATTTTTTTTTTTTTAAATGAAAGCATTTACCTTGCAGGGAGAAGCTTGAAAATGTAAACTGATATAAAGTCATGAATTGATACAAATGCATTTCTTTTGGAGGAAGCAACTGGACTTCACTTCTGTGGCAGGAGGCTGGGAAGCATAAAGATTATACACACACATGCACACATTTTTGTGTTTTGAAACATTCCAGTCAGTTAATCCCAGATAATGAGATACCATTATAACCACTGCTTCACCTCCATGATCTTAGGGCAATTCTGCAAGAAGCAATTCAATCATTTTGGGCAGGAGAGCCCATAACGTTAGAGTGTGCTACTGCAAAAGAAATCCAATCTCAAACAGGTTTTCTAGCCCTTTCCTAAAATGCAATGGTGATTATAACTTCCTTTCACAGAACCACAGAACGGTTAAGGTTGGCAGGGACCTCTGGAGGCCATCTAGTCCAGCCCTGCTGCTCGAGCAAGGCCACCTAGAGCCAGCTGCCCAGGACCCTGTGCAGATGGCTTTTGAACATCTCCAAGGATGGAGACTCCACAACCTCCCTGGGCAACCTGTGCTGGTGCTCGGTCACTCTCACAGTAAAAAAGCGTTTCCTGATGTGCAGAGGGGCCCTCCTGTGTTTCAGTTTGTGCCCATGGCCTCTGGTCCTGCCACTGGGCACCACGGAAAATAGCCTGGCTCTGTCCTCTTTGCACCCTCCCTTCAGGTTTTTATATACATTGATAAGATCCCCCCTGAGCCTTCTCTTCTCCAGGCTGAACAGTCCCAGCTCTCTCAGCCTTTCCTCATAGGAGAGATGCTCCAGTCCCTTCATCCTCTTGATGGCCCTTCATTGGACTCTCTCCGGTATGTCCATGTCTCTCTTGTACTGAGGAGCCCAGAACTGGACACAGTACTCCAGGTGTGGCCTCACCAGTGGTCTCGTTGTCAAAAACTGAGCATCTCCTTTGGAAAGGAAAGTTTTGGCACAGGGACTGTTCCAACTGGGACACCAGCATGGGTTTTAGCACTCTGCCAAGCCTCTTGTATCTGGGACTTGCTGCTGCATTTGGGCAGCTTTGGTTAAGGATGAGGTTTCATCTGGGTAGTTCAGCTTTGCTGACCTGACGTCTGGAATAAATGTCCCTTTCTGGGACGTGCATCATTTTGTAGTTTCTCATCTAAGGCAACAAAACAAAAATAAGTAAAAGCCAAAAATCACTTTGGTGTAAAATGTTTTTTTTCTGTGAAAGCTCCTGAAGCATAAAATTATTGTCTTTTCCTGAAGAGGGGATATTACTAATGTAAATCCAGCATCGTTAGCAGAGGAATAATACGCTGCATGTCTTAAGGCAAGCGACCGAAGAGTGATCGAAATGCCTCACGGGCGTATGAGATTGTGGGGACAGGTATTCACACAGAGGATGCTTTCTTACGTGTACCCAGGGCTTTCTCTTATCTCTGAACATGAACCCATAGTGAAGCAGAAATGTTCCTGTATTAATAGTGCATCGGAGAAAATCCTTATCTGAAAAATACAGTAATACTGCACAACTGGGAACCCTTTCAGAGCGGGGAATTGGACTAGCAATTTCATGGTGTGTTGGTAATGAAACATTTTGGTTCGGTAAAAGCAAATGGGCAAGGTTAGTGGACACATTACTCCAGCTGCCGTTGTCCCAGCAGTAACCAATTTAGAGGCTTTACATTTTCTGCTATCCCAGTAAGGGAAAGAAAAGCAGAAAGTTAAAAATAGAAATCCCAGAATGAATTAAAGCGCAAAGAGTGAACAAGCTCGTAGTACTGCTGTATAATTTTAAAATCCCTTTTTTCCTTTTAATCCGGACTTTAATATATGTATTACATTGCAAATTCTGGCAGTGTCTGTCCTGCTCCAAAAGGTCACCTCCATACAGGAGGATTTATTCTGGCTGTAACATGTGAACACGGTCATCCAGCCCTGGATCTATCTAGCTACCATTTGTAGTGATGATTCCTGTTGGTATTTCCTTTCACCTGATGCTGTTGATTTGCAGGAGAAGCATGAGAAGTTGTCTGTGGCTTTGGCCTGCAAGGGAGGAGGTTAAAAAGATATCTTTGGATGCCTGTGTATAGATCATAATTGGGTTTTTTCATTGCTTTTTCAACAGCTGTGGACAGATATCAGACCTTCATAAACTGGTTGTTGCAAGTAGTTTCCCTGCAACATTACCCTACACAACACTGCAGTGTTGGGTTTTCTTTCCTAAGGTTAACCGTCACGCGTTCTTGGTTTTATTTAGGTTACTTTTTCCTGTTAAGCTTCTAATCAAGAGTAATACAGTTTCTAAAGCAGGAATTCAACATATTGTGGAATTGTTTTCTTGATTTGCAGATATCCTTGTTGACGGCAAGCTTTGCGACTGCGATATCGTGGTGGACTGCAAAGTGGGGGACCCCATCCCGCTGGAGGTGAAGCTGACCAACTGGAGCAAACATAGCGTGGGGCCCTTCGCTCTCACTGTGACGCCCTACCAGGATTACCAAAACGGGGTGCACAACTATGAGCTGCAAGATGCTATCACCTTCGTGGGATCCAACACCTTCTACATCGACTCAGTAAGTCTTTCTATCAAATGGATCACCATTCTGGGTGATGTGCATTTGCAGAAAAGAGCTTCATTATTCAATTGTGCATTTTAAGGCAGATTAATTTTTGGAAAGCACCACAATTATGGCAGCTATTGCGAAAGGTGCTGCTAGTTTTGGGGATATAGAATTACCTCTCTGAAATGGTTTAAGACTGTAATTTCCCATCATGTAAACCACTAGTAAACTATCAGAGACAGTAACTTTTGGTCACTTCAGATCTGACTAAATGTGAATGGGTAACCTAGATAAAATGTTTAATACCATATTGCCATTCCCTTGAGCCATCCAGTGCAGCCTGCAGTAATAGATTTTAAGTAACTTTTTCTCTTTAGTCCGTAAGAAATATTCCCCAGGCTGAGCCAAGGAACTCAGCAAATCAGTTTCAGTCAGGTCCTGAGGAAATGCAACAGACTGCAAAAAGAAAATGATAAACATTAATGACCAATATGATGAGCTGGTTCATTTCCTTGTCACTTAGCGTACTGTCATAAAACCATAAAGAAAAATAGAAAACGTGCTTAAAATGGGACAAAAAAATCTCTTTTTAGAACAATCGAGATTTTTATTTTTTTCTCAAATTCTTCTTTAAGAAATTCAAATCTAGGAGCTTTTTGCTTCTAAGGCAAGACACTGAAAATACAGATAAAACTACTCTCTCCCACACCCTTCCCCTAAAAACAGCAACAACAAAAAAACAGGAATAAAAAACATACGGACAGTACTGCAGAGTGGAATAAGTAGTATTTCTGGTAACTTATAAAATAAACATGAAGAAGAGGGTGAGTGTTTGGGATAGAGCTTAGGACCTTTGCTTAGGTCAGCTCTTCGGATAGCTAATAAAATGTACCTGTCAAAACTGAATTTTCAAGTGAACCTTAGTAAGAAGGAAATTAAAGGTTAACCACGGGGATAGTCACCATGCACATTTTTCAATTATGCATCATGGGAAAAAAAATATTTCAAAAAGCTAATGAGCATGGAATACACCATCAACTTGAATTTTAATGGGGACTAACTATATTCTTAGCTGAATAATTTAAATATGTCAACAGAAATAATCAAGAGATGGCTTTCTTTGACTCTCTTTCTGACAATGTGGGGTTTTTAATCAGAGTGGCAGTGTTTGGATGCCCAGCTGCCGAAGGGTCTGACCCTCCAGGCTAATGAGGGAAAAGGGAGATGTCAGCATGATGTATTCTTACCTTCTGATTGAGTCTCCTACGGGGCAAAAAGTCAGGAGGTCACATCTCTTGTGCCTGCCCAGGCAGCCTTCTCATACGTTACGGTCTCCGCTTTTGCCCCGTTGCTCAGTATTGTGACATTTCTCCTGTAAACACAGTCCCTGATAAATTAAAAATAGAGTCATTTTCTGCTATTTGTCCTCCTTTTCATCCAAAAAGGTGAAATGAAGAAAATGTCGACTCTTAGACAAAAAATGTTATATTTCACGGTATGTAGTATTGTTACTTGCCCTACACAGGGTCCCAGAAAAAATGCTTAGTCATATTTCTTTGAGGCATAGAGCCCTGATCATGGAAGAAAATTCTTCAAACAGTGTATCTAATGCTGTCAGAGGCCCTTTCATCCCCCGTAATAACTAATTCAGTAACGGAAAAAAAGATTTCAGAAAGCTGCACCTGTTTTGGGGACAAGAAGAAAGTCCTGGTTTGTCCATTTGATGCTTCAAGGAAGAATGAACATACTCAGAATTGTGTTTGTGCTCCGAGTTTGGCAGAAACTCAGACAGATGCTGGTTAAGAAACTGAAGCAGCTCATGGTTGGGTGAGATGAAAGAAAATCAGAGTTTTTCTTTTTTATAAATGAAAGCTGAGGCAGTGGATCAGATTCCGTGCTGTTGTAACTCAGTGCTGCTCTTTCAAAGCTATTAAACAAGTGCCCATTATTTTTATAAACTGAGGACATGGGCACATGGTTATTTTGCTTGTTTAATGGAGGTGGCTTGAGATGCTACGGTTTCCCAGCTGCTTGTTTCTGCCTCTCTGCAGGAAGACGCTCCCCTCTTCCCCAGCAGACCCAGTGGGAGAGGTGGCATGAGCATTTGTTTTCGTGCAAAGTTGGCCAGTTTAGCAAAAACTACGGTCGTCAGCAGTTTAAGCTAATTGGGCTGACTTTCCACTGACACTGGCAGGGAGGTGGTGACATGATTTATTGCACTGCCAAGCTGGGTGGGAGGAAGGATGGAGAGCTAGCGTATGGTTTGGCGTATCAGTAGTGGATGGTCAAGAACAAGTGGGAGCATCAGGTATTACAGCAAGAGAAGATACTTCTCACGCCCTGAAAATCTGGTCTGTTCTCATGCTGATGCAGAAAATACAACGTTATTGGTGCTCAATTGAATGTGATTTCTTTGGGGGAAAAAAGCCCCAAACCCCTCTGCTTTCCTAAATGTTGATTTCATACTAAGACTGGTGCTCAGCAAATCACAACTATTTTTGTTTCCAGACTAAAAAGTTTCAAAGCAGTTTCTGCTGCTATCTGGAAGACAGGGGACATATACAGGAATTTTCAGCATGCACATGCTGCTTCGCAGTATGGGTATAAATTGTTTAAAGGGTAAAAGTCATATGATTTTGTATTTCTCTTTCTTGTGGCTTGAAGTCCAGGTTAGATGATTTATCTTGGAAGTAACGTAATGAGTGCTTATTCACCTTTTTATGCTCTTATTTCAATGCAACGCAGCAGGCTGGGTTTGTGTCACAAAGTCTCTGCTGGGATATACTACTTCAAAAAGCAAATTCTTTTACTGAAAATTTTAAAGGCTATTGAGATATTTCCATGCATTTTAAATTAAGTAAAATCTTTATTTTTAAGCACAACTTCTAATTCAGTTAACCTTACCTTTCTGTGTCTGTATTTAACAGGAAAAAGTGACTTCATCAGTTATCATTTAGATAGTAGACATTTTTGTTCAGTGCAGGGTTTTGAAACATGAGATAACATGGTGGACCCCCACCCATTAAAATACATTGCATTGATTTATTTTTTATCTCACTTCACATCCTGAAAGTTTAGCTTTAGCCATATTATTAAAAATTCTTAGTTCTTAACCAATGGTTTTTTTGACTAATTAGTTGATCAGACAGAGTTGCTGCTTGCGAAATTAAAAACAAAAAAAATATCTCCTATGGAGATTCCTGTAACTACCAACAATTCATCTTTTCTTGTTGTTCCTGCTTTTGCCATTACTATTCTCAAGCAGGTTTTTTTCCTGCGTGTATGATCACGCACTAGCTCAAGTGATTAGTAGTGGAAGACGAGGAGAAATTCATTAGTAGATGGTCATTTTGAATCAGCTCAGAAGCTATGATGAACATTTGCTCACTTCTGGCAGATCCTCTGTGGCCCATCTGGAACAAATTAGTTTTCTTGGCACTGTTTCACTCGCACTGTAAACTCTTTGGGGCAGCGAACAGTAGCTGGCATTAGCCCTAATCTCCAACTGAGCTCCCTGAGTACTACAGCAGTATAAATAAGTAGTAATTAGTTCTAAGCAATCACAGTCCCACATGGTAGCCTGCATCGGGGAAGGATTAGGATGGAGCTAGAAACTTAATTTTTCTTCTGTCTCAGTGGAACAGAGGAGTAATGTGGGCATTTTTTTCTTGATTCTTCAGTCATTTTTTTCTGGGGTAGAAGCTTCCCATCTTTGGTTTCCATGATTTGATGGAATTTTAGTAAAATCTGTTTCAACTCCAACTCGACTCAGCAGTCCTGCTAGATTGAATGACAATACAAATTTGGGTTGGATCAGGCATGAGGATGTGGTCTTCATGTTTCTTGTAGGTTAGCTGGATCATGCATTGCAATCAGTGGGATGATGTGTACTGTCAGCTATGGCGGGAAACGTCTGACTTGTGTACACATCTGAACAAGTCACCCTGAGCTCCCTTCACAGGCAGTGGAGAGGTAGTCACCAGAACTGATGGAGTTTAAGGGATATTTTACCTCGTTCTACATTTGATCAGATGAATCCTTGGGTTGAACAGCTGGCTCAGATGTGGAGATCCACTTTACAGACATTTGGGTGGATTCAGTCCCAGACTGACACATCTCAATGAGTAGGTGTTACCATGGATGCTGGCCAGCTAAGCTCCCATTAGTCAATAGAGATGGAGTCTGCAGCTGGTAGAACCTGGCTTGCACTAACATAGACACCAGGGGTGAGATTCAGTTGCCTAAAAGTAGGTGTCTACCATCATTTAGGTGCTATGGGCCTCCACTACTGCCAGAAATCCTCCTATAAATCATCCTGTAAATCCGGCCAGCCCTGTGCAGATGTCTCAGTGCCTTAGGTCATCCCAAAAGTCACGAGGTGCCTATGTTTAGGCAATTGTATCCTGACGCTATAGGCTGGCCAGGCAGACCATTCTGTGTTTGCCTCACTGGCTGCATTGACTAGATGTCTGCTAACTGTAGTAGGAGCTTGGATACCTAGTGTGCAGAGAGACACCTAAATGTAGGTGGTTTAACCTCAAAATTAGTCCTGTGCCCAGTGTACCAGTTGGGTTGGATCTTGCCCTCTACTGACCTGACTGCTGCTGATGTACTCATGGTCTTCTGGGAATGTTTGTAGGCAGCCCCACTGGAGAGGCAGCCTTACTTTCCGAAGTTGTTTATTATTTTGGAAGAAGCTTCTTGTAATTTCTGCAAAGCCACTTGCATCTCAACAGTGCAAAGGTTTCAAGCTACTTTTGCTTCTCTGTTTCTTTCCCAAACCACAAGTGTTGATTAGAGTAGAGGTTGTACAAGTGGTCATACAGATGTGGATAGTCCCTAAACCGTGAACGTTGTTGTCTGATCTGTGCATACTGCGCACAGGGAGACGGGCTGCAGGCATAACTGGATGCATACCACGGCCTGCCTCACTGGCTCTTCTCGCTTATGATGAAGAAACTGATGACTGGTGCAGAGACTTATGCTGTAAAGGCAGGAGAAATGAGCAACCATGTAGGCAGAACTTCAAATGAGTGAAAAGACTGTGTTGATGCTGTTGTACCTGAAGCCACCTTCCTTCTAGTCAAGGGCTCTGATCAATGCTGTCACAGATATTTCTTCATGGTGCAGCTCAATTAGGAAAAATGGACGGGAACTTGAAAAAGGTATGGGTCCTGAGGAGGCTTCATTTGCTGTTTGCCTCCATCCACTGCTTGCATTAGTGCCTGCTGCTGTCCTCCTCTGGATGCAAGTCTGCATCAGTTCCAGTGAGGTGGAAATAAGGCAGGCAGCCCCGGGAGGAGGGGAAGGAAGCAAGAGGGGAGACTGCTTGATGTTGTTCTGCATGTCCAGACACAATGCCAGAGGGCAAGAACGGGAGGGGAGATGCCAAGGACAGGGTCAGGAGAACAGCTGTGGCTGCTCTGATCATTCACGTGGATGATACGATGCTGATACAAGTTTGCTGTAGGTCAGCAAAAGTGCTCAGCACCAAAGCCAAAGGGAGCCTGGGCTCTGCCAGCTCTGATGATGTTGCTGCTTGTGAACAGCCAGGCCCCTGTGCAGGAGCAGCAATTTAGGGAGGTTCAACAAAGAAGCCTGATACCCCAGGGGACTATGCGAGGTGCGTGTCTGCTGGCTAAAGGACCCAGCGATGAAGGTCCAAAAAAACCTAGAATAGGAGAAAACGGAAACAAACAGCTCATTCCCCTCATATCTGAAAGCTACAGAGAACCTTCCTCACTGGAGGTGGTGGCAGGCAATTTTCAGCTCTCTGCCATATTCTTGAGGTGCCCCACACCCCTCAAAACTTTTTCTAGTGGGTCATCTCCCCCCTCTCCCCCACCATGATCTAGTCATCATCCTTGTTCTGGTCTTCCTATGCAATGGCAAGATGCCCTTCAGCAAATGGTGTCCATAGACACTTTCCCAGTTAATACCCCATTGTTGATGTCCCACTTTAACATATGACCACATTTTTTACAGTGGGCAAGAATCCTGATAACTTGTCTCGGAGCCTTAGCCCCATCCCTTCACTGTTCGACGTCATAATGTCCCATTGGTTCCTAGTGATGTCCCTTGCAAAGGTTTTCTCCCCCTGAATCCAATCAAGTCCAGCACATCTGGACAGCTCAGTGTTTCTAGATCCAACACCAGAGTTTCTGTTGTGGTTGGGCTTGGGGCTCAGCTTGGCTGACCAGTGGTATGTCATGCTGTCATTTGGAATCAACGCTGGACTCTGTAACATGATGGACACTGAGGTGTTTGGAGATGACCAAAGAAAGGCCCATTACCAATGAGTATTCAAGTAAAAAAGAAAACACATGGGCCCAGGCCTACCCATGAAAGTAGGGATTACCCCATGAGTATATCCTGAGTTGATGGTTTCAGGGTCCAGAGAGCAGAAAGGAACCGGTAAGATGGTCTTGGCTGAGGGAAGACCAGTACTGAGGAGCATCAGGTGCCCTTTATTGGGTCTTTTCTGCTGGGATGAAGTTGCCTTTTCACAATTTTTTGAATAAATTCCATCCAATGGAATGGCTTTGTGCTGATTCCATGTTTTGCATTTGCAGCAACTTTAACCCAATTCTAGGCACCCTGAAACTGGATTTAACATCTTGTGGAAGCAGATGTTAATTCAGACATTATCACATGCTGAACAGTCGTGGGATTGTTAAAGTTAGAAATTACTTAAGTGTCTTGCTGAAATGATGGACTGACATATATTATTTGTTGTAAAGATATGGATTGTAAATAGTTTTGTGATGAAGGGAGATATATAAATGTAGAAACAGTGTGAACTCTGTATTTAATCTGGATGAGTTAAATCAGGGTGGCTACTTTTTGTGGGATGTTTCTTGCTAAATTTAATTACTTCAATGATAGTGACTATTAAAGATTCCTGATTAGAATTTGCAGTCAGGTTGTGTCTGAATAATAAGTTGGGATGAATTTAGTTTTTGCTAAGTTGTTAAATGGTGTTTAACCATGTGTTTAACATGAGTTCAGAGACATGATTTAGACCTTTAATACAGATGTTGCTAAACGCAGTCTAAGGAAAGATTTTGGGTGACCTCGGCCTTAAACCAACTCCGTTCTGGAATCAGTGACTCCTGAAGATCTGTATTCTGGTTTGAGCTGTGCCACAGCTTTGCTGCATGAGAGAATAATACAGGATTTAATTTTCAGTGCTCCAGTTTTACCGTTGCTAGAATAGGGGCAAGATCTTTACTCCTTTTTGTGTGAAGGCAACATTGAGATGTGAATCTAGAGTACTTTGAGATCATTTGAAGGAGCTAGTGAATTGTGAAGTGCAATTATTTTGTTTTGTTGCTGATTTTCTTATACTGATTTCCATGTTCTCTTTTCCAGGTGAAGCCGACCAAAGACTCTGTGTACTTTGGAGCACTCCTCTTTCTCTACACAGGCGATTTCTACCTGAATATCAAATTCCATGAAGACAACTGCAGCAGAGAGCTACCTCTCTCCTGGTTCTGCCTTCCTAGTGTCCACATCCGTGCTATGGAGCCTATTGTCCAAACTAAACCGTAAATGTACTGTGTGCTGTTTGATTAACCACAGAGCACAGAAATGCTTGGCACATCCTCTGCTTGACCCCAGCTTGTTTCTGTCCAACCCCGGGCCACACTCCCTACTTTGGAGGAACAGCTGAACACTTTCTGAATTGGCTGATAGTCATTTGGGCAGCTGCTTTAGCTAATTTGAGAGAGAGAGAGAGAGAGAGAGAGAGAGAGATTATAACTATGCTAGAGTTTTCCTCTGTTTCCAAAAAGCCTTTGAAACTGCTAATATATGCATTATACTTTCATATACTCTATTGATATCAGTGGGTTTGAAAGGGTCTTGAGGGCTGAATTTAAGAGGGACGAATTTAACCATGTGTTTGAAGGTCTCAATTCCAACTTGAATAATCCCATTTTAGCATTTTTCAACACGAATTGTATATCTGTATGAAATTCCTCCTGGCTTATGCTGGACCCATGGCATGTACCCTTGAGGTGTAGTTCTCTCTTAGATTCGTTCACAGGCTTGTTCTTGTTCACTTGTTTGCTCAGTATTCAGTGTCTTTGGTAGTAAGTAGCAGTAGTGATGCTTTTTCCTGTGTTACTGGAAGTAAGAATAGCAAATGTGCCTCCAGTTATTCTCTTCCTCCCCTGAGCCCAGTGCCACTTGCTCCTGGTAAAGTCACTGCCTTTAGTTTTTTAGATCTATGAACAAGAAATGAAAGAAGACAATGAAGAGCTAAAGAGTTTTGTCCTTGAGAAAGGAACTAAGCCAACTGTTGGGTTTCCTAGGGCTTGCCTGTGAATTTGGGCTTTCACAGTTCTGTTTTATACAATCACAATTGCTTGAAATGTTTGCAGACACTTAAAGAGCCACCAGAATTAATCAGCTGGTCATTAATATCACTTTGCATGAGTTTTTGCAAACTCTTCTGATCAGATTTTTCATGCTAATAGATTGGGCTTGATTATGTGGTGGTTGTTTTCCTTCTTTTTTTTAGAATGATTAAGTTTAGTTATTAGGCAATTAAGGCCATGGAATTCCTGACCATAAAAGTAGTTGATGAATGTACTGAAAATTTAGCCTGTTGTCTTTCAGAATAATGTTTTTGTACAAAGAAACCTGCATTTACCCCAGGTAAAGCAGGGAGATGTCTTAGCTGTATGATTAATATATTATTTCATGGACCATATGTTTCAAACCTGTCTCAATCTTTTCTTAAATTTACAGCCTGCAGCTCTTAAATTTGGCGGTAGTATACTTTCAGGGGTGGATAAACCAAGATGTGGCAGGGCCACTCCAGTTAGCTCTATACGTGCTAAATCTACGCGCACAACCTCTTTGCAGATTTTTTGTTTGTTTAGGCTTCATCCAAATGTGGGCACACCACTTCATGCCCGACCTGGTCCGTCCTGCTCATGCTGTGGAGCACTAGCCCAGATAGCTCATTCTGGCTCTCTGCACCATGCCCAGTTGTGCTTTTAGATGTGACTGGTGTTTTCCACAGGAGCAACAGTGCTCAAAACTCAATTCATTGCATGTTTGCAAATGACTGTAATGTATTCATCCTAAATATATTTCTAATTTGATGGAACTGTAGCTATAGCATGATAGCTATATTTCCAGTGTATGCAGGGTATTATCTCTAAAAAACTGTATTGTGGCAATGTTATCAGTGTTTGCTCTTGAGCTGTGGCTCTGTATACAGCTTGGAATGCCAGAGTAGAAGTCTTCAGTCTTAAACTGATGGAAATCTGAGACCAACTGAAGATTTACTTGCAATGATGTACTACTCTGTGAGCTGCCAGCATGCAATGTCCAATAAGAAAACTGTTCCTTAGACTTGCACGGTGGTTCTGGGCCAGAGACACCCATGGAAAGAGGGTCCAAGCAGCTGAGTTGGTCATGGTTTTTGTGTTAGTGGAGCTCAGTTGACCAGTTTGTACCATGAGGCTGAATTCTCTGTGACTACATAGGCATATACGCAGAAAAATAAGATCCCGGGAGAGCAGGAATTAAACCAGTTAATCTTCTCCATAAAAGCTTGCTTTTGACATGTGTCTCTGTACTATGTTACACAACACTGTTGCAGCAAAATCCAAATTGGGTTTTATTCAGTATTCCCAGCAGATAATCTGCAGATGCTAGGAATACAGCTAAGGCTTTGTAAGGACCACATTGCATTTGAAACAAAAATATTGTGAAACGGATGCTGTTGCAGTCAGGATGCTTCAGCTTACCCAGCTAAAAGGGATTGTTTCCTAGGTTATTTTTGAGAGCGTTCTCTGAGAACAGAGGATATTTGTTCTGTGAAGCCTATACTGGGATGCAGCACTCCTGTGCCCTTTACTGATGAAGGATCCTGATCCACAGCCTGCTGAAGCTGTTGGAATGGGACAGGTTTTATTATAACAAAAGCAAGCTGCGTATTTCCAATATGCCATTATAAATCTGCCATATGTGCTCATAAATATAAGTTCTTATGTGCGAGCTGACCCTTAATGGTCTATCTGTTCATTATATAGTAGACCACTCTGTCCCTTGTCAGCTTTGATGCTTAGTTGCTTTTGGCATTTATGATATCTTTCCCAATTTTCTCACACTTCTACTTGTCTTGGTGAGAGAGACGAAACACAAGAAATTCTTCCTTCTGGGGATCATTTATGACTTGTCCAGAAGGAGAATATTTAAGTGTCAGCGTAATTTGGAGAAGGGTGAGGGGAAGGTACTTGAAATGAGAATACTGCATCGCTTTTGGTTTTCTTTTTTAATGGAAGTTTTCACTGGGATTGCTGTCAGGATTGGTCCTTGCAGTGCTTGAAAAAAGGGTGATACTTTTCTGATCTGCTCTCCTTTTCTGGAATGGTAAACTTGTTTTTATTTCTCTGAACCACCCAGCTATTATTTTGAACACGATGAGCCAAACTGTGCATTGTTACACAGATGTAAATTTGATATGATCCCACTTGGTTGAATTAAATCATTCCTAATTTAAATCACCATTGCTGAGAGCAGACGTTGGTCCAATATATGTATGCATTGGAGAAGCATAAGTTGTGTAAATTTAACTGTCTGAATAAATACTTATCTTGTGTTATTTACACCTCTGCCTGTCTCTTCTGTCTATAATACTTGACAGTGCTCTTGTGTGTTTTTACTGGTAATAATAACATATCTCTTGATGCTGCATTCTGTCTCTGAAAGAATGTATTTGACCCTGAAACTGAAATTTCAGCTTCACTCAAACTTTCTCTTCCTAGGTGACCTCAGAGCTGATGAAAGATGTATGCTCCATGATGTGGCTCCTGTGTCAGTGTCCCTTAACTGTCAGCTGAGGGGAGAGAGAGGCACTCGCGTGAAAGGTTACTTATGCCTCAGTGTCCTAGTACTGCCAATGAGGGTGGCAAAACACTGGCACAGGTTGTCCAGAGAGGTGGTAGATGCCCCATCCCTGGAAACATTCAAGGTCAGGCTGGACAGGGCTCTGAGCAACCTGATCTAGTTGAAGATGTCCCTGCTCATTGCAGGGGGTTGGACTAGATGACCCTTAGAAGTCCCTTGCAACCCAAACCATTCCATGATTCTATGATTCTTTCCATCCTCTGAAGAAACAGCTCAAAGGCTGGAAGGGGGACCACTTATGGAGGTGGTATGTCTGGGAAGACTGATCGGAAGCACTTGTTTTGTGTGCACCATCTGATGACCAGCCCTGTTTGAGCTCCTTCTGTCGAACACTCCTGAGGCTCCCGTGTTTGTGTTCCCAATCTACAATTTCTTAAGCTTTCCTTAGTGAGAGCCAGCTGCACTCTCACTTCCTTGGATCCCCTGGCTCCCTTCCTGGGTGTGGGCACCTTGTCTCTCACTGAAACAGGACTATGCATCCATCCTACTTGCACTACGCACGCTACAACAGTGCTGTCTGCCAACTCTGCGGGATGTTAAGCATACTGTCCAGAGCTCTGGGCTTGCAATTCAGCTGTTTGGGCACAGGTGGGATTTCATAGAATCATAGAATGTCCTGAGTTGGAAGGGACCCACAAGGATCATCGAGTCCAACTCCTGTCCCTGCATAGGACAACCCCAAAATTCACACCATATGTCTGAGGGTGTTGTCCAAATGCTTCCTGAATATTGTCAGGCTTGGCACCGTGACTACCTTCCTGGGGAGCCTGTTCCAGTGCTCCACCACCCTCTGGGTGAAGAACCTTTTCCTAATATCCAACCTAAACCTCCCCTGGCATATCTTCCTGCCGTTCCCTCGGGTCCTATCATTGGTCATCAGGGAGAAGAGATCAGCGCCTGCCCCTCCTCCTTCCCTTGTGAGGAAGCTGTAGACCACGATGAGGTCTCCCTTCAGTCTCCTCTTCTCCAGGCTGAACAGACCAAGTGACTTCAGCCACTCATCGTACGGCTTCCCCTCTAAACCCTTCACCATCTTCATGGCTCTCCTCTGGACACTCTCTAGTAGCTTCGTATCCTTGATTTGAAGGCTTTCCTACCGGTACATGCTTTGCAGAGGTTTGTAAACACTAATGCTGTTTTCTTAATACAGAAGACACGTAGATCTGGACAATTTTCATGTTCAGTGTTCAATGATACATGTTTACTTCTGCAGTTTAGACTATTCTGGGGCATAGGCCCTTGGGTTATCTGGCATCTTTCTATTTAACTCTTGGTTTCTCACCTCTCTTTTTCACCTCATCCTTCCCACCAGCTCTTCCACTCACTGCTTTTCTGTTTTTCTTTGGTTTCTTCCAACAGAAAGGATCAACATGTCCCTTTCTTTTTCTGTCTCCTTCCTCTACATCTCCATCAGAGTCTTCCTAACACCTTGGTCATCTACTGGGGAAAAAAATTGCTTCAAACCCTATTTCAGTTGTTAAACTGGAGTTTGGCTCTCGTATCCTTTCTTAAAAGCATCTTGAGATTCTTCAGTTGAATGGGACCTTGTCTATTTTATTACCATCTGGTGTTGCTTGTTGGAGTGATTCTTAGGCTACTACATTCATGATGCATCATTTCTGTAA